TTGGTATAAGGCTTTTTGCTCAGAATCCAGCAGGGCCCACTCCTCCATGGAGAAAAACACAGCTACATCCTCAAATGAAACTAAATTCTGACACAGGGAGAAGGAAAAACCACAATGTATTTCATGAACATCCCTAACTATGAACACTTCCAAGGATTACATGGGAATCCTCTTCTTAATGAACAAACTGTAGAGTTTCCAAGTTGGGCAAAGGAGCCTGTTAGGATATTGAATTTAGTGGCCGGAACAGTAAAATCTACAATAGGCCCCCAACACAATTGTGATCACTTAGTTAGAGAGTTTTGACTCATGCATAATGCAATCTAAGCTATGATTGGGTGCTGTATGTATGAAGGGGGCGTTTCCCTTTTCCCCTCCTTTTTTCCTTATGTGTGTTTTGTAGGATGCATTAGATTTACTTCATGATGTTCCTGACTATCTTCTGTTCTTCCTTCTCTGGATGATGACAAAGACTGCTCTAAATTGGTGGGTTAAATATATTTATACTTGTATAAAAGTTTACAAGTCCATGTCAGTGTCTCCACTTTATCTGGACAGCTGCTGTGCTCTCTACCAAAGCCAAGCTTGGACTTTATTTTTTACTTTGGGCTTTCAATCTGCACCACTTTAAAAAAATACCTGACAAAGGTCAAACCTGGAATATGATCACCACATTACAAAACAAGATGTGGAGACTTTGGAAAAAATACAAAGAGCAACTAAGGATTAAAGGCTTTGAGACAAAATCATAGGAAAAACGGTTATAGGAACTGGATACAGCTAGTCCAGAGAAAAGAAGGATTTGGGGAGACATGATAGCCGTGTGTCAGTGTTTCTGGGGCTGCCACAAACAATAGCTCCAGAAGGCAGGAAACAATGGACGGAAACTAATCGTGGAGAAAGACAACCTAGAATTAAGGGGAAACTTCCTGACAGTGAGAACAATTAACTAATGGAACAATTTGCCTTCAGAAACGGGGATGGACTAGAAGATCTCCAAGATCCAAGGGCCGTGGTGACGAACCTATAGCACATGTGCCACAGGTGGCACACAGAGCCTCTCTGTTGGCATGGTAGCTGTTGCCCCAGCCCAGCTCCACCGTGCATGTGTCTGTGCCTCTTAACAGCCAGCTGGTCTTCGGGTATCTGCCATGCATACGCAGAGGGCATGCGTGGGAGGAGGGACACATGCACAGGGGATGCGCATGCATGAGTGGGGGTAGGGTACATGCGCAGGGGACGCATGCACGCTTTGGGCACTCAGTGCCAAAAAGTTTAGCTATCACTGGTATAGGATCTCCTGCTTGAAACAGAGGGTTGGACTACAAGATCTCTAAGATCCCTTCCAATTGTGTTATTCTGTTATTGGGAGATTGGCACATCTGGAGAGGGGAGGGGAGAATCCTCCTACCTGCATTGGAAGCTCAACTGCTGTTAATCCTCCACTACAAAGACCTGAGGTTCCGGGAGATGAAGACAAGGCCATGGGAATGTCTAGGAGTGAAAAAAACACAGCAAAGGAATAATTTGCTATCAAGCATCCTAAGGATATTCTTGAGCATGAAGTGCAGAAGGCTGATTTTAGCCTATTTCTAGGCTAACTAGGGAACCCCTTTATGTGAGTTCCTTGCAGCCACAGCAACAAATACACAAAAGCTCACCCTGGGTGAGGGGAAAAGGGAAAGGTGTGGAAGGACCAGGGATTGGATTCAGAGGCAGATGATCTCAGCCATGAATTTATGCATTAAAGGACCAACTCTTATTCTGTTTCTATGATGCCTTCCCTTATCAGATAATCAAGAAAGACAGACTACAAAAACTTTTTTCACAGCTGAGGCTTTGCCTTTTGGACTAGCCAACGGCAAAAGCGGGGAACTATGGGCCTTTTATGACTGGTGGACTTCAACTCCAGAATACCTGAGCTAGCTGGCTGAGGAATTCTGGGAGTTGAAGTCCACTGTTCATAAAAGGGCCTTAAAAGGAAAGGCGATACCTTTTTAAATGCACACAAGACTTTAAAAACGCACTTAAATTGAACAATGAAAACGAATTCAGGGATGAAAGAAAACGAGGGCAAAGAGATTAAAGGGCATCAGAAGGATCCTTTACCCGATGCTCTCTCCGGAGGAGGCTCGTCCAGAGCAAACCCCCGAAACAACAGCACCTGGGAGGGATCGCCCCCTTTTCTTCTCGCCGCTTTCCCAGCCATTGAACTCCAAGCCTCCCGGATCTGAAACAGCACCAGAGAAAAGGAAGTGACGGGAAACGATCAGGAAGGGCCAGCAATATAAATCACCATCATCATCTCCCCAAGGAGAAAATGGGGACTGCAAGAGGGATCGTAGCAGCGCTCCAATGAGCTGCATTGAAGGGTCTCCTGTCCGAGCATTTCCCAGGAAGGGAGGGAGGGAGGGAGGAAAAAAGGAGGCGCTTTTTACCTGGCTATCAATGGGAAACGTGGGGCTCTCTTCCTCGCCCGGACTCCGCTTCCCAAGAGATGCGCGCAGGAAAAGATCCGCGATCGCCGCCGGGCACGGTTCCTTCCTTCCCGGCCACGCACGTGGATGCCCCTCCCCGGAACGACCCCAGCCAGGCCTTTGCAGATCCTAAGCTGGAAACGCTTCTATCTTCTCCCGTCCCAGTCCAGCTCCTCCCGTTTCTAAGGCGCCACCCACTCGGGTTTCCACCTTCCTGCTCCTTACCTTCTGCCACGGGCGAATCGGTCCAGCGTGTGATGGCGAGCTGGCAGCGAATCCAGAGCTGCTTCGCCCCAGGCAGTCAGAGAAACAGGGGAGAGAGGGAGGGAACGACGCCCAGCAATGGGGGAAGGGAAGGGGCTATGGAGCACTAAAATTAGGAGCGAATCGCCCAAGCCACAATGGCCCTGAAAAAAGTGACTTACAGTATGTCCGTTTTTCCTAAAGATTGGTGCAACATCTTCATGGTCACGTGACAACGAACAGGATAAAATCCAGCCAACTGACTCATATTTATGACGGTTGCCATGTCCCGTGGTTATGTGACACTTCGGAGAAATAAAGTCAATGGGGAAGCCAGATTAGTTTAACAAACCTGTTACTAACATTAACAACTGCAGTGATTCACGTAACAACTATGGCAAGTAATATTGTAAAATGGGACAAAAATTGAGATCAAATTTCTCACTTGACGATAAAAATGTTGGCTTGAATGGTGGCGAGGACAACCTGTGTTTGAAGTGTTGATGGACAGTGTCTGAGAGCAATAGGACTTTAAGATGTATTATAATTAGACAAACATTGTTCAGTCCAAACTATTTTCCCCCAAAAGCGAAGGATACAAGAGGGGGGGAAAGAACAAAAACTGCTTTCTTTTGACATTATCCCCACTAAATACAGTCAAAAGACCCCCTTAATGCTTAAGAGGGATGGGTTAATGGGATAAGAGAGTCCCATTAACTATTCCATTTTGAAGCTGAAGAAAATCTCTAAACTAGGAAATACTTAACTATTGAAAAGGCCTGAGCTAGAAAGATGTAATCCCTCCAATTAAAAGTATATGAAGTTCACAGGAAAAACTGCTGGTACACAGTATAGGTAATCTTTGTCTTGCAACAGTTCATTTCGTGATCATTTGAAGTTTCAACAAGACTGAAAAAAAGTAACTTGTGACCTCTTTTCACACTTATGACCGTTGCAGCATCTCCATGGTCACATGATCAATTCAGACACTTGGTAACTGAATCACACTTATGACTGTTCTAATACCCAGGACTCTGGCTCCCTGCCCCCATGTTTCATGCCAGTCTGGCATCAGGGAATCAAAGAAGGGTCGATGGAGGATTGCTGCATGGAATTCCTAGCCACAACACCAGAGAAAATTGCACGGAAAATGATCATAGAACATAGAATCCTAGGGTTGGAAGGGACCTACGAGTCCAACTCCCTGCTCAAGGTACATAAGATACATACTTTTTCTCACACACACACACACACACACGCACACACACACACACCTATATACAGGACATTACTCTGTAACAAACTTGTATTTTCCCTGTTAATCTCTTCAGAGTGAAAAAGAAAAAAGCTCCACTTTAGCTAAACAAAGAAGTAAAAAGCAAAGGCAAATCCTTAGTCTTGATCTGAAAAGAAAGATCTTCAAAGGATCTAACAAGGGAAAAACAGTGAATATTACGGTGCAAAAAAACCCATTCCACCATCTTCAATATTCTGAAGGAATATGAATGTATAAAAATGCAACTAGTAGACATACTGTAAAAAAGCAGTTCAGTATAGTTTATATATACATAATACTATCGACATTATTATGCACTCACAACACTCTTACACAGTTTGTGGAAATACTGTGTCATAAAGCAAGAAAATTTGGGAACTTTGAATTAGATTACAGTAATTTAATTCAGACATTAACTGATCATAGATCTTCCAATGCTAACCAGGGATTCTGTGCAACAGAAGGCACCGCGTCAATTCCAACTTATAATTAAAATAATGTTGAAATGTACTCATACCTATGTCTGTAGCCATTTGTACCTTTTCTCCACCCATAATCAACACAGATGTCTGTTCCCAATAATGTAAATTGGCATCCTCAACCCAATTTACAGGTATATATTAGGAAGGAATAGAACAGATAGGGATAGAATAGAATAACAGAGTTGGAAGGGACCTTGGAGGTCTTCTAGTCCAACCCCCTGCTTAGGCAGGAAACCCTATACTGTTTCAGACAAATGGATATCCAACATCATCTCAAAAACTTCCAGTGTTGGAGCATTTACAATGTCTGGAGGCAACATGTTCCACTGGCTAATTGTTCTGTCAGGAAATTTCTTCTTAGTTCTAGGTTTTTTCTCTCCATTAGTTTCCATTCACAATCAGTACAGATATCTGTTCCTAACAATGTAAGTTGGCATCCTCAACCCATTTCGCAGGTAAATTTTGGGAAGGAAAAAAAACCCCCTTACTTTCCATTTGGTAATGGTTTAATAACACATGAGTATTTCCAATATCTCATTGCATATTTATATTTGGGGAATATGCTTAGTTACATTTCATTAAGAAAACTATATTGTACATAGACAAGATATCGGCCACCCTGTTGTAGTAACTTGAAGCTCTTCCAAAGGTGCCCTATAAAATCGCTCATCTGTCCCATCCATTTTATTCCTTCTCTTTCCCTTCCTTCACTGTTACCTAATTATGATTTACTAATTATAATCCACCACCTTTCCATTTTGAAATTTTGATAAAAAATTGAACCACTGAAGTTCTTTCCGCACTACAGATATGTATAAGGCCACTCGTCCAAGTGGCTCCTTTTATGAGTTCACTTTTCTGAATGAAGCTCCTTCAGTACTACGGAAATAGGCAAACAAGAGGCACTGAAGCACTTTTATAACCTTGAGACATTTACATAGTGTCTCCAGTGAGAAAATTCTTTTGCAAGAAAAATAAGAGAAATATTTTCAATAAAGCGCTTTCCACGCTTGATACATTTAATAGCTTCTTCAGTGAGTGAATCTTTCTATGGATATTACATGACTGATTCTAACGAATTATTTTTCTACATTCAACTCATTTATGTGGTTTCTCACCTGTATGTATCCTCCTATGGTAATTAAGAGCACTGCTATGTGTATAGCACTTTCCACACTCCATACATTTATATGGTTTGTCTCCTGAGTGCATTCTTCTATGGCTATTAAGGGAACTGTTTCGACTAAAGGACTTTCCACATTCACCACACTGATAGGGCTTTTCAAGTGTGTGGGTCCGCTTATGGGAACTAAGGTCACTGGTGGTCCTACAGCCCTTTCCACATACCACACATTTATAGGGTTTTTCCCCAGTGTGGATTCTTTCATGGGAAACAAGCTCTTGAGAATCACTGAAGCTCTTTCCACATGTGGTGCATTTGTATGGTTTCTCCCCAGTGTGGATTCTGTAATGTATTATGAAAGCTCTTTTGCGACTGAAGCTTTTTCCACATTCTTTGCATCCAAATGGTTTCTCTCCAGTGTGGGTCCATTTATGGTGAGTGAGAGCCCCCGAGTCGATGAACCATTTGCCACATTCGGTGCACTTATAGGGCTTTTCCCCTGTGTGGATCCTCTTATGAATATTAAGATGGCTTGTTTGATTGAAGCGCTTCCCACACTCGGTACACTCATACGGTCTCTCTCCACTGTGGATTCTTCTATGGGAAGTTAGGTGGCTGGGTTTACTGAAGCTCTTTCCACACTCCAGGCATTTGTATGGTTTCTCCCCTGTGTGGGTCCGTCTGTGGGCATGAAAGCCACCAGAACTAGCAAAGCATTTTCCACACTGCAAGCACTGAAAGGGCTTCTCCCCTGTGTGGATTCTGTGATGGGCAGTAAGGTGTGCAGAGCAATAGAAGTTCTTTCCACACTCCATGCATTGAAATGGTTTTTCTCCCGTATGGATCCTCTCGTGTGACTTAAGATGACCTTTTCGACTGAAATTCTTTCCACAATGCAGGCATTTATAAGGTTTCTCCCCTTTATGCATCCTATTATGCAAAGTTAGGGTACCGCTTCTGCTAAAGCTTACTCCACACTCCAAGCACTTATAGGGTTTCTCCCCTGTGTGAATCCTTTTATGTTGAGTAAGGGCACCGGGGGCTTTGAAGCATTTTTCACACTCTGTGCATTTATATGGCTTCTCTCCAGTGTGGACCCTCTTA